TTTTCAGTCACATGTTTTAGATCAGTGCTGTCCAAAGTATGGCCCGCGGGTCACATGCGGCCCGCGGCTAATGTATGTGCGGCCCACGACATGTTTTTAATCTACTACAATTACGCAAATTTTCTTTTGGTGTACTGGTAAAACCACATTATTTTATTTTTATGATATACCAAATAAATATATTTAAATTGATACATTAATAAAACTAAATTTAACTTAATAACTGTATTTATAATGATATATTGTATTTATAATAACAACTATGAACGTATGTATTTGTTTCTGCAGCTCCCCAATATGTACAGTAATTTGTATTGGCCCGCGATCGCATCTGGTCTGGACGGCCCTGTTATAGATTATTACTTGTTGTTAGATAGTGGTCTATGAATTAATATTCAATTGTAACTATTCGAGGACGATTACGATTTGAGGACTTCAAATTTATCTGATATACACTATTATATCAGTGTTCAATGCTTGATATATACAACATAGAATTTTAGTAAATCAGACAATACATATATGTTGTAATAGTATTTAATACAAGTATTTAGTATTTCCTGTCTTGCTTCTCCTGCTAATGACGGCATAGTTCTTACGGGTTTTATTATCTAGTGATCTATTGTCAACTTCAATCTTAAAAAGTATTGCCATATTCACTGCTGGTGCTTGGGTAGCCGTGCTAAGGAATATCAGACAGCTAAAATTTATATTTTATGGATACGGTTGAGGTAATAAATATTGATGAAGGGAAGTCGATACTTTCCAGCTTTTTAATGTGTTCATTGTTCGCTATGTCACCCTATATCGATCGGTAATCGGTCTAGATAGCCAAACTGCAATACAGTGAAACAAATCAGACGATATTCTGAGATGGATTCCGATGCTATGGATTATATGCTGTTAAAACTGACAAGAAGGCATTTGCAATGCGAAACGCTCTAGCAAACCGGTATTCAGAGCAGTGAAGATAGTGAAAAGATCTAATAACATGAAATACCTTTAAGTAACAAATTGTAAGTGGTAACATATAGTTTTTCAGTAAGTAAGGTAAGTGGGTAACTACAGCTTGATATTTATACAGCTGCTTAGCTCTGTAGCCAGTATACTCGATTCTACATTCACAAGGAAACTTTTATTACTATTACTATTAAAACAAATTTTCACAGAATTCAAAATGGAGTTTCCTGCATTACTTACTGTCACAGCTGCAACCAACGAATTGCTCAAATCTCTCTGAGCCGCATGGATTGAAACTAGGCAAGCCTTTTACATATATAAGAAAGCAACCCTTTTAAACTGTTCTAAGATCGTTTAAATTAAAAAAATATGGAATCTCTAAAAATATGAAAAGTTATGGATCTTCTTTGAGATATATAAATAAGTTCACATAGTAAACATAATAACGAGCAGTTGTTTTTCTGAAAACATGAGCATTTAATTCAAAGCGTGTGAAACGCTATGAAATCATTCAATATGCTTTTGAAACATACTAAAAAAATAAACCAATGATTTTGATAGACACGTACTTAGTCCTTCACTTAATATACCGACAATAATTTTTATGGATGTAAAGTGACTAACGAAAAGTGTTTGTTTTAGGACGAACATAATTTTTCTATTATAAAATTTTCTGCCGTTGCTATAGTTGATTTAAAGCCACAACTGGCAATAATTCATAAACTTTTGTTTAGTACTTTAGAACGGCTCGAGAGTTTCGAAAGCAATTAATTTAGAATTAACAGCTAACAATGCAAATGGCGTGAATTATTGATCATAGAAGCGAAGCACCGATTAGCGGTAAGGATAAAATAAAGATGTTAGTAGAAAATAAGCCAGCAGAACGAAGGTGGGTCAATCTGTGGAGATACTAACTACTGCAAATAAAAATTTCAAGCTTGTCAACCACACGTAGAGGTGGAGTTTCCGTACAGTGGACATGCATATCCTGTGAGTCGCATTGATTTCCTGCTTTTGAGTTTTCACTCAATAAGTTTAGTTAAAAAAAGATTTAAATAAATTATTAACATATTTCTCACCTCGAGAAAAACAATATACAAAAATTAAAAAAGTTTCAAACTAACTGGCTAATGTAGCTGGATCTGCCGATCGAGAAATTTAGTTTATTGAAGTTTAGGTGTTCAGAAAGATTACTTAGTTGTAGTAACGACATACATTAAGACTGAAAAGTTTTCGGAAATTCTCATTTAAAATTCGCGCGCTGTATATTTTTCGATATTTTAAGTTTATGTAGTTTGGCAGCACTGTCCTTAATTACTATGCCAAAAATGAGCTCGATCTGTCAGACAGTTCGTTTACGGCAGCTGTTGAAACCAGTTCACCTCAGTAGTGCGTTGCGAAATGTCTTCGACGGTCGTACGACCGTCCTGGAAGGCTTTGTACCACTCATAAACTTGAGTTTTCGATAAAACTGATTCCCCATAAGCCTTTTGTAGCATTCGCAACGATTCTGCACACGAAATTTCGTTCGAAACACAAAATTTGATGCAAACTCTTTGTTCAATATTTTTTTCCATTGTTTTTTTCGCAACGCCCTACTGAGGTGAACTGGTTTCAACAGCTGCCGTAAACGAACTGTCTGACAGATCGCGCTCATTTTTGGCATAGTAATTAAGGACAGTGCTGCCAAACTACATAAACTTAAAATATCGAAAAATATACAGCGCGCGAATTTTAAATGAGAATTTCCGAAAACTTTTCGGTCTTAATGTAACACATCACTCAATAAATCGTGTGACTAATTCAGAAAAACAAATTTTTTTTTGCCAAACAACGATTTTACTCATCAATATAATTTTTTTCAAGGGCAATACAATCATTCCAACGCTTTTCTAACTTCTCGAAGCCGTGCTTGTGGAAGGATTTGTCTTTTACCTCAAAATAGGCTTCAGTTGCAGCAATTACTTCTTCATTTGAGATGAATTTCTTACCGGCGACCATTTTTATGAAATCATGCTTACAAAAGAACAGGCCCATTGTTCTTGGTTTGTATAATTTTTTTCTTCTTCTTTCTCTTTTACTATATTAAGAATTCTTCTGTTAGTATTCTTTTTTCTGATACTATTGCGATTGGTTTTCATTCTGAAGAATCTGATACCGAGAATGAAATAATTATTGGCGAAGGTGATTCAGAATGATAAGCAAGAATAAGGTGTAGTATTAGAAATAAATTTTGATTATGTGATGAATTTCAAAGAACCGTTGGTGGTTGTGTAGCATTTTGATACAGTTACGGAAAGAGATAATACTGTCTGGTTCAAAACTATACCTAATCAAGTAGGTCGCATTAGTGCTCACAATGTATTTCATGGCACTACCCTTGCTCTAATTCGTGCAACTAAAAGTCCTCCGTGTTCGATCAGATATTCACTCATACGATGCTTGAAAAAGTCAGGAAAACTTTTTAAATTTGAAATGAAAGAAACTCTAACACAAAGGAGAGAATGTGGAACACTGTAACCGGCATGGAATTATTTGTTATTACCATGTAACAATGTAAAAGCCCATTTCAAAGAAATTGTACGTTTTATTTGGTTGGACAGTCGGCGTACTAGAGCTGCTCGTCGACTGTTATTGACAAGGCTGGTCTCATCTCTGATATGTGGCTCAGATGAATAGCAATCTCCGCATATACTATCAATTTTCCGGATAAGTAACAGTAGAAAAGCAACTATTTACATATCGTGATGGAACAAGATTTACCCATTACATTCCCTCTAAAAGTTTGGTTCGCTCGTGATATGAAGTTCTTTTATCCTCTCAACAGTAAGAATTATACTGTAAAGAACTTAAATGAAAGAACTGTAAAGAACTTAAATCTTGCAACTAATGTGAAAGAGAGTAACATTGGAAAGAGAAAAACAACGCGAAAGATTTGCAGTTTATACCTTACTTGTTCCTCAAAAGCAACTTAAAAAGTTTCACTTAAATTTTGTATAGTTTTTTAATAAATATATACAATTGTTTGCAAAATTTAATAATCTGTATAAAAGAGTTTTTTTTATATCTAGATTTCTATATAACATATTTGCTTGCTGCCGTCAACGTAAGAAAAATATTCCGAGCACATAAAGGTTAATATATACCTGTATTTATTCACTCAATAATATTATTCAATTAGTATGCAAAAGGATGTATATAGAAAACATTGTAAATACACATCTTAGTTGCATAGCACGAGTTGAGTACCACAAAATCTACTTAAGTACTCTAAAACGTTCAGTCTTTGTCGGGTCTTTAACACTCAAAGATGCTTGAAGACATGCCTATAGACTTTATTTTTGCAGAGAATTTTTTCATATCATATAAAGTGTTTATAAAAAAGTGTATATAAAGTGTTATAAAGTGTATATAAAAAAGAGAATAAGAGAGAAATACTTTTTTTATAAAGGAAAGATGAATTCATCAACAAAACCCCTTCAAGCAGTCTAGTGAAGGATCGTCCAGAGAATCGTTTGGTAGTACTTTAAGCCAAGTTCCAATCAAATGAAACGTTTTCAATATATAATTTGTATTATAATTATATAGAAAATCACACTTTAGCTAAAATATTTCAAACAGCCAATATTACAGATAAAGATTCGAAGGTGGACGTCAAAATACAAATCATAGATTTTCTGTCAAACACATATTTTTTATAAATAATCTATTTATTTGAATGATTTTCGTCAAATTTTCTGATTTTGGTTTAATTTATTTAATTAGATTTATTTTTTTAAAATTATTGGAAGAATACATTTCATAAAATTTAAAAAAAATTAAGTTTACTTAAATAAAGATTTCATCTGATTTTCATCAATTTTGTAGAATATGGTTTACAATGGATTTATTTTAAAGATATTAAGTATACATTTTATAGAATACTGAACTAAGGTTTACAATGGATAATTATAATTTGAAGTATTATACATAACATACTTATGACATCTTCGTATTTCTATTTTCTAGCTTATATTCAAGAGTGCCGCGATTCCTATGGTTCAACTTTTTATATGCATCGTTCCGCTAAAATCTTCACGTTCCGCTAAAATCTTCATATAAGTGCATGTAGTAACACTTAAAAAGATTTCATCATCCGTGTCTATCACACAGTCTCGAAAATTATTTATTTTTTCGCATAATATATCCCAAGCCAATGTTAAGTCCTTCTCTTTGAACATTGTTTTAAGATTTTTATATATGTCTACAGCGTCTTGACGGATTTTTTCGACTGCAGGTGTACTTTTTGAATGATTACAATGTATCAAGTTGAATGGTCTTATATCTTCGTAGAAAAGCCGCGAACGTCGTATGTTGCCCATTACTTTTGGGTGCTGGAGTAACATCAGAGGAATTCTTTCATGCTTCTCAAATCTATTCCAGACAATTCCGCCTTTGTTGTTGTTAATTATATTTTCCACATCGAGTAGTTGACGTAATTTGTGGTTCTGGAAAAAATCGTATAGTTGAACATAGAAAACCTTCTGTTTTGGTGTGATTTCCGCAAGGAAACGGCGTAAAAAGTCGTTTATAATTAACTCCCTCGGTGGTGTTATTACAACGCGATGCAAGACCGAATTAACTTGCGTTAATTTATTTTCTAACTTATATTTAAGGACTTCCGCTCTTTTGTTAGCAGCTGCTTCCCATTCGCAACGGATTAGCTTCGATGGAAACACTTTAGGTTTCTTGTATTCTAGATTTATGCCTATGTAAGAGTTTGGTTTTACATAAGCTAACAACAGATTGTTGTTTCCAATTCCTTCCAAATCTTCTGTCGGATCGCTTACTGCTGGAGTTAAATGAAACATTCTTTTTGCTGGTTGCGAAGCTGCGCCGGCATAGTCTTCAACAGTAAAGTTCGACTTTCGTTTCAAGTCAGGCTTTAATTGATTATCAGTAGATTTACTTGCTACGTTGCTTTCTAGATTAAATATAGTTTCACTTTCATTTACCGCCTCCTTAAAGAAACTCCATCTTAAACTTTTGGCATTAATCAGTTTTTTCTTATTTTCCTCATATGCAAATATGTTTTCAGCACTCATTGAAGCGGTTTCGTTTGTTCCGTAGAAAAAAACTCCATATGACTTTTCATTTCGTTGCGTAATTTTTGCGGGCCATGAAGGATATCCTTTAACTTTGGCAAAGACTAATTGACCAACTTGAAATTCCTTTAATTCCTGCTCCATTTTTATTATTCCTGAATGCTCTGTTTTAGAGATAATATTTATGCTTAATCTCTTATCTAAAAACTGTATTTTAACTTTGAAACTAACTGTGTCGTTACTTTTTTTGATCTGAATCACCGTTTGCTGGGCACGACTATTTATACTCAATTTGTACCTCGGTTCTAGGTAAATATCATCTGAAGGCGCGCTACCTGAACTTTCAACTTTTGATATCTTCACAATCAGTCGACTTGTCTTGCCCAGGTATCTACAATCTTCTACAAAATTGTGACTTCATTTACACATAATAGCAATAATAAATAAAGTTTTATTTATTTATTTGTTTTTTATTTATGTAAATGCAAAATATACTTTTTGTACTAGATTTTCAAGGTTTTTCAAGAATTTAATATAATACACCAGCCCCTATTATGCGTTAATCAGTATATAATCGACCATCGAAAGTAATTCTCGAGCATCTTTTGTATATAAAATTACGATCAATCCTTTTTTTGCGTCCTTGGTCCTTTCTACCTGAACCGTTGTGGCAATGAAATAGATAAAATAAATGTGAAGGTCGTTTTGATACCAGGGACATTATTTTTATAATTATAATTATTGTAATTGTTATTATTAATGTTAATTTTAGTTTTTATATTTTTTGCCGGGCTTAGGTCGTTTATTTAACATATAAATTTATAAAAATATTTTCTAAAAGAAAATAAAAAAAAAATTACTCGTTTTTAAAAAGTGTATTAAATGTTAAATTTGTTTAATTTTTATACAAAATTCAAATTTTATACAGACATTTTTTTAAATTTATGTTTTAAATAAACGAACTAAGCCCGGCAAAAAATATAAAAACTAAATAAATATCGGTCGTGATAACAATTTATTTATTGTTAATTTTTTGAATATTGTTGATGTTAGTATGATAATTATTGTTATAATTTGTGTGATTATCATTATCACACTTTAATATATTATTATTATGTTGAGGCTAGTTGGGTCAGTGCACTTGAGCACTTTTACTCTCTACTAACTGCGAGGTTTCTTCAAAACCTCTCTCTATTCCTTGACTGGATTATTGTTCATCAGTCCTTCAGATTAAGTAGTAATCTGACTTCAGATCTGCATACCTCCCAGAGGAGCCTCTAACCTTTCTGAGATTCGACAGCGCGGTTGACCCATAGAAATCGCGTCACTCTTGAATATAAGCTAAAAAATAGAAATCCGAAGATGTTATAAGTATGTATAATACTTCAAATTATAATTATCCATTGTAAACCTTAGTTCTATAAAATGTATTCTATAAAATTTATACGTAATATATTTCAAATATTATCCATTGTAAACCTTAGTTTAATATTCTACAAAATTGATGAAAATCAGTTGAAATCTTAAACTTCATTTTTTTTAAATTTTCTTCCAATAATTTAAAAAAAATAAATCTAAATAAATAAATTAAACCAAAATCAGAAAATTTGACGAAAATCATTCAAATAAATAGATTATTTATAAAAAACATGTCATATATGTATATTTGTATATATTTGATTTAATATTTGTTTGACAGAAAATCAAATCTCTTTGTATTGTATTTTGACGTCCACCTTCGAATCCATATTTGTAATATTGGCTGTTTAAAATAGTTTAGCTAAAGTGTGATTTTCTACAAGATGAAAAGTTACAAGTGATGGTCCTTATATAGTCCTTATAGGCACTTGAAATTATCTATAGACTATATCAATAATAGCACAAAAATATATTATGAAAAACTTACAGATGAAGCACAGATCTTAGGCATAGTGTACCGAAACTACTTGCGTTTGAAGTCTCTAAAGTGATATCGCAATGGACTTACAAGATCTGTGCATAGATTCAGCCAGCCAGCACTTCCTATCAATAATGGCTGGCTGCAAGTGCATATAAGTATCTAGTGTCACACGTCGAGTTATTCATCTAATAGGGCAATATTTTTCAACCTATACTTTTATCTCTTATTGCATTTCAATATTTATTAATGAAGTTATCTGAAGCTAAAGTTATCTAAAGCTAAAATATTGGGGGCAAACGAGTTAATTTTCTAAAGCATGCAAAATTATAACGTTATAAATATTTATTTAGTATTCTGAGCTATTGCTGCATTTAAATCTGTTTTGGACGTAGTTATTTTAAAATACTCTGAAAAATATTGGACTGAAGACGTTATGAGCAATAGAAACAGACGTAAGTAATTTGTCGAGACGTGCTGCTCTAATGTGAGTATAATGAATTGATTTCGTTTTATTGATCATTTCATTGAATTCACAAGTGACTTCTGCATACTGGCCGATGCCTACATATAGTACTTATAATAGTATACTTGTATAGTACTTATAATCACTATATAATCACTTGAAATCATAATATTGATTGAAACCCATGTTGGTAAAGATAAGATCTACGAATCTCAAAATACATTTAGGAACTATAACTTTTTTTAGGAATGGACAACTAGACCGTTGATAGCTGTTTGTTTGGTATTAACAAAACAAAAGATGAAAAATCTTAATATCCAATACTTTATTGATACAAGAAATAGAATAAAATTGATATCTCATTATACAAGAGATCAGTTCTGTTGAAATAGTACATAATAGCATTTCAAAGAACCTTGCATTTTCAATTGCAATTTCAATTAACTTTAATTTAATAACTAAAGTTAAAGTTAAACATTTATTTTATCATAGTGATATGTTACTTAGTAAAGGTATCTCAATTTAACCATTATGTTGGAGGAATACTAATATGTGATACAATCCCAAATTTCATCATTATGGTCCTAAATTCGAAATTTCACTGAAACACATAGGAATTTTAAAATAATTGGATGGGAAAATTCAACCCTGTGTCATACACACTCAGAGAGATGGACTTAATCTAACTGTTGTGTCAACAAAGTTTCACCTTTGCAGCGAGTTTTTATTTATTAAAAATAAAAGTAAATATAAAAAATATGTTTAGCAGCAAGATTGTGAAAATTTGTTAGAGAACAAACCGGAAACAAAAAGTGAAACTATAAAATTCATGCACTAAGGCACGCACTCTACGCTGAACCATCAGTGACAGCACCAAAAGTTCCAGTTCCAGCTCCAGCTTCAGCTCCAGCGCCATAGACACGATACCAAAAGCCAATGCACGTGTTAGTTTACTTTTTATACAACCACCGTAATGCTTACGGTGGTGGTGCTATAAGTACGCAACCCTAGATAAACAGTTTGCGAGGTTCTCGACTGAAATGCAACCTACACTACAATTTATTGCAGAACTTACTTAACGAAAATTTTTATGCGTTTTCTACGTGCTTATCTCACAGTTTACTTATTGTTATTTTTTTTATTCTTATTCTTTTTTTAAATAATTTTGCGAATATGTTCACTAAATACAACGTCCGTATTCGTATACACATATATATCTTATTTGTTTTCTAGTAAATGGAGATCAATTAGTCATTAATATAGTAATATAGTAAACATTGACATGGACCAATTTGAAAGTATTAGGTATTATACCTATGTTCTTAAGCTCCTTTAAGTTCATAAACATCAATATACCTCGGTAGCGCCTTCTTTTATATTGTGTAAAGGTTCGGACCTTATAAAGGGTGTTAGTTGGAATATGCTTATTCTTAAGCTTGTCAGTTATTTCATTACTGTCAAATACCTTATGGACTTTACTCATATAAACAAATGCATTAGGACCTTATGGACTTTACTCATATAAACAAATGCATTAGGTATTAATGTTAAATGGGCCTAATGAGGTGATTCCTTTCTGCAAAAGTTCAAGTTAATATTCTGAAACGTAGCTCTAAAATCCAAGTATCAAACTGTCGAATATCACAGTGTCCAAGGGGTATATGCCAATTTATTCACATTACTGTTGCAATGATAGCGTTAGGTTAGGTTAAGTTAGGTTATACAAGCAATTCTAAGGATCGACTTAATCATATTGACCCATTGTGTCACCTTAAAAGAACTCAGAGGTTTAAAAGGCACCATGCAATTTTGGCAAAGCGTAAAATGATCCTTAGCTGATCATGATCTTTGACAAAGAATTCCCCTAGCATAGTCAATTGAAGATGCCCTTATGCTGGAGAGTAATAAATCAGATGTGAAGCATTTTCATTGTCCTCCCCACAACAGCGACAAATTAATCTTCTAGTCTGGAAGTGTTAGCTTAATTGAATGTAACCAGTCACTAAATCTACCACTAGACTGATATAAACATGTTACAATGTTTAAATTTGAAATAAATAAATATTGAAAGCAATACTAGCTTAATCGTACATATTTTATATACTTAAAAAGTTGATATATTCAGTCCAATATGTATAAGAAATATTGTTTAAACTTCTACTTACTGTTCTATTATGCCAAGTATCGGGTGGTTGGTTCAAGTCTTGTCATTAATTGTTCAGAAGTAAAAAATAATGTGAACTAATTGCGTTCACATAAGGATATTTTATATCAAGTTAATTAGATTTTAGTTATTTTAAAATATAATTCAAATATTACTTTTAAGGCAGTTGATAATAATAGGACTTTAAGCCCTGCGTGGTTCTGATATATTTAATTATAATAGAAATAAATTTATAAAGTCGGTTCATGTGTTGGTCATCAATGGCACCTTGCCTATACATTTGACAAATTTAGACAGAAAAATGATATAGCAAATGAACCAGCATATCGTTATGTTGAATGATCTAGATGTAAAATGACAGATTCAATGACGGATCCTGTGGAACAAAGATGGAATGCAGAAATAAAAGGAAATAGGAAAATTGGGAAAGTGAATTATGTAATGAACTATTTCTTAAGTTCGTTTAAAGCTGAGATATACTTAGCCGTCTCGGAAGGTGCAAAGGTATTATAAATTTCTTTGTTCATAGTTTTAGCTTGCTTTGAGTTTAGCTTACAAGAGTTCTGTTGCTGTGGCTGTGGGCTTCGGTGAGTTGTTCATCATAAATATATTAAACC